ATACTTCTATCACGCTTTCATCCAACTTGCATTGTAGCGAAAGTGTTAATAAAATTCAACTTGTATTTAACAAAATCACATAAAAAATAGTTTTTTTACAAAGGTTTGAAGGTCGACAATGCATCGATTACGGGCGAATCGATACCACTGGTACGAACGGCTAATATCCCGCAAACCGGAAGTGTTATTCAAGCGAAGAACATGGCATTCTTTTCCACAAACGTTGTCGAAGGTACATCGTTAAAGAGAATAAAAATATCTTCCTATAATTATGTAATCCAAGAAATTTGTTTCTCGTAAACACTCGAGGTGTACTGCAATGTTTAAGTTTACAAAATTAAAAAAATTTTTAACAAATTAAAAATTCATTATTTTCAACTTTACTTCTTCATTTTAAAAAGCGCAAATCCACCGTAATTAATATTGTGTTCAATACAATTTTTAATAGGCAGCGGAAAGGGTGTCGTAGTGGCCTGCGGTGATCACACAGTGATGGGCAGAGTGGCGAGGCTAACTTCGAGATTGCCGACCCAGCCTACGCCTCTCTCCAGGGAGATGCATCGCTTCATGAAACTGGTCTCGTGCTGGGCCATCTTTCTAGGCGTTTCGTTCTTCGCCATGTCCGTAGCGATGGGCCACGATTGGATCGACTCGGTCGTGTTTCTGATCGGCATCATCGTGGCCAACGTGCCGGAGGGCATTGTCGCCACGATGACGGTCAGCCTGACCTTGACCGCCAAGAAGATGGCCAGCAAGAATTGCCTGGTGAAGAATCTCGAGGCAGTCGAGACGTTGGGATGCACCGCCGTTATCTGCAGCGATAAGACCGGCACTCTCACGCAAAATAAAATGACTGTACGATTCCATTTCTCTTCTCGCGAAAGTCTTCTGCAGAAATATGTTATTCTTAGATCCGTTTGTTTAGTTTCTTCCACCTTTTGCACCGTTTCGTCTTCTTTTTTTTGTTATTCTGTTACAAACGTGCGTTTATGCATATATTTAGTTTAATTTTTATTTCGTTATAATTATAATCAATTATTCTTTCATTAATATAACGTGAAATAATGGAAGAATAATTATTATTCCATACGATTCATGTCGTGCACATATTCCAATGAAACGGTTCATAAAACGTTTATTAACATCTATACGTGTGTATTATTCATTATTCATCTTTGATGCATTTTTTGCAATGATTGAGAGAACTACACGATACTGTTCTTTGTGTAAATTGCACTTCTCAAGTTTCGCGATTTTAGGTACGACACGTGTGGTACGACGGTCAGTTGCGCGAGGTGATGGCGTCGGACACATGGCGAAAATACGACAGCAATCTGGGTTTCGAAAATCTGGCGAGGGTGGCGAGTCTCTGCAATCGCGCCGATTGGGCGCCGATGCCCGAGGACGAACCCTTGCCGCCGTTAAACAAACGAAAAATCCTGGGAGATGCCTCGGATGCGGCATTACTGAGATGCATGGAGGTCCTCGTGAAAGGGGGAGCTAATTCTTACAGAAAGGACTATATCAAGGTAAAGAAACTTGATTAAATTCTCCGATCAAAAGATTACAGAGATTTAACTTTAAATTTAGCATGTCACTGGTAAATTTAATGGATTGAAAATTATCACCTTCAAATTTTTAAATTAATTTGATAAATTACATCACTTTCTAATCTTATTTAGTTTAATAAACGTTTAGTCTGAATTTGAAAGATAATTAATTCTTCGTGTGCATTATTGAAACAAGAAAATAAAATTTATTAACAATATCTTGACCAAGAGAACTTTTTAAATGGATGTTCAGATAATGGAGATACCTTTTAATTCGACGGACAAATTTCAAGCGAATGTGCATTCATTTCGCGACAAGTACTTCGTGTGCTTCAAGGGCGCTCCCGAACGCGTTCTCGAACGTTGTTCGACGGTAGCGTTCGGTGGCGAGACTAAGGCTTTGACTGAAGAAACAAGGACAGCGTACACGGAATCTTGTTATATCCTGGCGAACAACGGAGAACGCGTCCTCGGCTTTGCCGATCTTGAACTCTCAAACAAGGACTTCCCCGTGGGCTATCACTTCGAGGCCGATCCTCCAAATTTCCCTCTTGAAAACTTGAGACTGGTATTTCAGTCCGTATTTTATTTCTCTAAATTTATCAAATATTAACTATAAATTCTTTACTACGATACTGTAAGAGTTTGAAGTCTTTATTTAAATAGTAAAATAAAAATTTTGCAGCAGAGAAAATTTAATAAAATCTGAGATTCAAAATTCTTAAGTAACGAAACTTAATCTCTGGAACCAGGAATATTTCTCAGCATCCCAGGCGCTCAAGGATTGAATTTTCTATCCGAGCTTTTGAATTCAATGTTTTTCTATACCGCAACGGTATTTTTTAGATTCTTATTATTTTAAATCCAATTATCGGCCTTTAATTTTTCTTCCGTTTTCTAAATTAACAAAATGTATCCTTTTTTTAATCGATAGATCGGCCTGGTAGCCATGATGGATCCACCGCGGCCAACTGTTCCCGATACTGTGTACAAGTGTCGTTGCGCCGGTATCAAGGTCATCATGGTGACCGGTGATCATCCCGACACCGCCAAAGCGATCGCCAAGTACGTCGGCATCATTACTGACAACGACGGCCATGAAAATTACAACAATGATGCCGGAAAACGACATATCGTGGTGACGGGTGCACAGCTGCGCGATCTGTCACCGGAGCAACTGGACCAGCTCATCAGGCGATATCAGGAGATCGTGTTCGCCAGGACGTTGCCTGTGCAAAAGCTGCAGATCGTCGAGAGCTGCCAGCGGCTGCATCTGATCACCGCGGTTACCGGCGACGGCGTCAACGACTCTCCAGCCCTGAAGAAGGCCGACATCGGCATCGCTATGGGTGTTACAGGTGGTACACTGGAATTTTTCCACGAAAACATTGTTGTAGAGAAAAATCTGAATCGATGGCGAAGTTTCTAAAAGATACATCCGAGTATACATGTTGCTTAAGGTAGAGATATCGGGAAGGATTTGAATTTTCTCGTGTGATTAAATTCTTTAATTCAAGTGCATAATCGCTGACACGACGGACTATAGTTCTAATTGTGATTGGCCAGGATCCGATGTGAGCAAGCAGGTGGCGGATTTAATACTGCTGGACGACAATTTTGCGTCGATAGTGACGGGCATCGAGGAGGGCCGGCGGATATTCGACAATCTCAAGTCGAGCATCGCGTATACTCTGGCCAGCAACGTGCCGGAAATAACGCCCTTCTTGGCGTTCGTTGTTCTCGGAATTCCGCTGCCACTCGGCGTGATTTGCATCTTATGCATCGATCTGGGAACGGATATGTGGCCGGCGGTCTCCTTGGCTTACGAGAAGTCCGAGTCCGATATAATGTTGAGGTATGAAATATTCAAAGCTTCCCACATGTCACACAGAATCGTGAAGGCTACATTATGAGAAACAAAGTTTAATCTTATCTTTGCGCATACTTTTCTATTTTCTATATTTAATCTCTCAGGAAACCCAGGATACCCCAGAGTGATCATTTAGTCAGCCGGCGGCTGATCTTCATGGCGTACGGTCAGATCGGCGTGATCGAAGCGTGCGCGGGCTTCTTCACGTATTTCGTGGTGATGGCAGAGCACGGTTTCCTGCCTAAACGACTGTTAGGTCTGAGGTCACAGTGGGACTGCTCGGCAGTGAACGACCTGGAGGACAGTTTCGGCCAGGAATGGACCTACGAGCAGCGCAAGATCCTAGAGTACACCTGCCACACCGCCTTCTTTGTCAGCATCGTGATCGCTCAATTGGCGGATGCAATGGTCTGCAAGACCCGGCGCAACTCGCTACTACGCCAGGGTATGGGTAACTGGGCCCTGAATCTGGGTCTGCTCCTTGAAATCGCTCTGGCCTGTGTAGTCTGCTATGCGCCCTACATGGACCGCATCCTGAAGACGTATCCCTTGAAGCCGGAGTGGTGGCTGCTCGGAGTGCCGTACGCCATCGTGATATTAATTTACGAAGAGTTGAGGAAACGGTGGGTCAGAAGAAACCCGGGTGGCTGGTGGGACAGAGAAACTTCGTACTAGGTGAGATCGTTGAAGAGAAGTCTCTTAAACTGAATAATAACTTGTAGAGAATATCTATTTATGTTGTTGAAGAGATGTGTTCACGTTGCATTCTTAAACATTGCATCAAGATGCAACAAAAATTGTTTCGTAAATAACGACCTTTAACGGCTTTCTATCCAGTCGTGACTCTTTGAGATCATGCTGCGAAGAGCCCTTCACTTTTCTAAATAAATTACCGCAAATATATCCTGGAATATGTGCTAAACAATTGAATGGATTGTGTCATTCGAATCTTACTGTTAGGTGCTAAAGCACAAGAACATGCTTCAATATTCTTTTAACATTTAGAGATAAAAAGTATAAGAGTTTACTTTATATATTTTTAGAAAGTTATTTCGTAAATTGTTATTATTATATTAATATTAATATCACGGTTATCCTAAGATTAACAAAGTAAAAATATAAATTAATGAGCACGATGCACATTATAATTTTGTGAATTGTGTTAGTTAAAGATTTAGAAAAAATAATATGTATTCTTTTTAAATGGAACTTAATACAAAACAGTTATTATATTGACTAAGCAATATTATCACGTTTCGGAATTTTTACGCAGCAGGTAACAATGCGTAAAGATGAAAACTGGAAACATTAAGGGAAGAAACAGGAATTTCACGTTGTTTTCTCGGTGGGTGGGAGGCTTTAGTGTGCTAAAAATATCTGGCAGGTAAATAAAGGTTGGCCAGAAAATCTTGATTTTCGCGAGATTGTGCGTTGCTTTCGGAGCGCACGTCGTCCGAGTTTTATACCTCTTTAAAAATTGAGCTTCGAACCTCACAATTATTATAATTTAATTTAGAAGGACATTTCAGTACCAATTCTCATACATGACATACGAATAATTGTATAGAACGCAAAAATAATTACAAGCGTTCCATGAAAATAATTATAAGATTAATTATATAATATACTGCAAATTGTGGCGATCGTGGCGCAGAGGATTGTGCGCTGATCTGGTAATCCGAAGACCCGGGTTCAAAATCAAACAAAACATTGTTGGTTTTTCGTTTGATCGCCACATATCGAAGTGAATAATAGAGAGAGGGATTTAGGCACGTTCTTTCTAACAAACGTAGGGGTGTAACGGTACTTGGGCGATCAGCCTGATTGATTGTAAGACCCGTTAGCACCAGTAAGTGAATTTCGCGAATGGCGTCGAGTACTCGAGCGCGAAGAAGAGTACCGTACTCTGTCGGGCTCGACACAGTACAAAACGCAAGCCTCTCTCTTTTTTGATATAATATACAAATATATACGCGCAATATATGCATTGAAGCTCATGTTAAAATTACCGACACAGATTTTGCCGACAGCATTTGCACCGGTTTGAAATAATTTTGGGGAAAACGTGTTATTATTTATATGCAAAAGTCAGTAAATGTGTGTGTGTAGGCAAACGTATAGAACGACAAGTGCACGGCGAAAGTTTTATCGGGCGATTCTAGCACAGCTCGCACGCTAATGCATGCAATTTTATATGCAATTTCAGAACTGAAAATTAATGCATCTGAAATTCATTACGTGCATGTCACTGTGCCTACGTGTATACGTGTGTACATGGAAGATTGTCGGTTTTCTCCCCGTAGACACTACGTGAACACCAAGTGTTGTAACCTCGGGTGAAGTGGGGGCCGCATATAAGACCCCGACGTTTGAAGGGGCCCGGTAGTCTCTAGTCATCGATACGACCGCGTTACTACGACTGGATCACTATACCTAGTGACGTCACTCTTTCTCTCTCCTACTCAATCGGCGCCATCCTTCGTCAGGATGAAGACGGAAGCCCTCCTTCTCCTGATCTGTTTCGGTGAGCTTCTACCGCGGTCTCTATCGGTTGAAAACGAAAATTGACTAATACGAGATACGAAGCAAAGTATGAATTAATTTCCTTTTTGAAATGTTCCTTTCGCACGTTGCTATGATAGAATCGGCTTATCCCTGCGTTGCAGAATGGTTTTATCTTTTCTGTTTGGCGGCTTCAAATGGATACGAAATTTGTAGTGTTGAAAAAGTGAATACTTTTCAATATTTGCCACGTGTAAGACAAATGCGCCGAGAAAAACTTATCGAGTGTGTTGTTATCGCGTGTTTATAAATTTACTTGGGCACTTGGTTTATATAATTACAATATATAAGACGAATGAAACGAAAGATATTGATCTTTCATTTCTCTACGAGATACGTGCACGATAGAAAAAATTGTATTTTTACTTTTATTATACGTTTAATTCTATTTGTGTTCAATTTTTATTTTCTTTCCTGTTTTTTTATTTTCCGTATTGGTTGTAACAGGCGAGTTGAAGTAATTAGAAGCTTTTAAGTTAAAAAATAATAATCGGGAAAAAGAATTTCTTTTTCGGGAGTTGACGCGTCTGGCCAAGATCGTCTGTATCTACTTGTCCGGTTAAACTGTTTATACCAGGGTCGAAGTCTACTAATAACGCGCTTGAAAGCTGCGAGACCGAATCGATTAAGCGACATTTAGGTTCTGGACGACCGACCGACCGAGTGTACGGGAGCTCGGCCACTTTCTCACTTTCTTCGCTCGCGCTCGCGAGGTCGACCGGCATATCTTCAGGGACGTAGACGACGTGTGCCGCCTTGAAAAACATACCGAGAGACCAGTCGACCCTCTGCCTTGACACGTTCACTCTCGTCTTCCCTCGTTTTCTTTCTTTATTTCGCTTTGTTTCCCGCTGAACAACTCGCGACGCGGAGCAATCCGGACAAATTCCAAGATTTCGAGCTAAAAAAATCTATAAAGATTGGCAAGAAAACTAAGAAATTACAAATTTCATATATTCCTATAGTTATCTGATAATTTTTCCCCCCCAAAATTTCTCAATTACAACAGAGACTGACATGTTAAACAAATATAAAGTGCATTGGTGTATTTCTGATGATTCAACTCTGATATAAAGATATAAAATAATAAATAAGCAATGGTAAGCCGTGGATAATAATCGAAAATAAATATAAATGGCAATAAGAGTCCAGCGCTGGCGGTAATACGCATATAAAATAATATCAACACACGGTCAGACTCAAAAATGCTGAAGAAATTTGGTTACATTCCTTTTTGTCCTTGTCAATGTATAATCTCTCGTGTATATTATATATATTAATATAACAATCTGTCACAGGAACTATCACCGCTTTGACGAGGAAGCAAGAGGCTGCCGAGCAAAGCCGCCGGAAGGTCGCTGCGGCCACGTCAGCGCCGAAGAAACAGGAGCCGGAGGAGGAATACGAGGACGACGACGAGCTCCAGGACCAGTGTCCGGAGCCCAACGGATACTTCCCGGACGCGGAGCAATGCGACAAGTACTACGACTGTCGAGACAGCAAAATAACGGAGAAATTGTGCCCCGACGGCCTGGTCTTCAACGATTTCAGTCCGCAGCACGAGAAGTGCGATTTGCCGTTCGGCATCGATTGCTCGAAGAGACCCAAGCTACGTAAGCGAGCCGTTTCTGTTTGTATTATGCAACAAAATCGACAAAGTGCTTCCGGCAATATTATTGAAATCACTCAATGTTAAACGCGTGTGAGTTCTTTCGGGGATTTCACAAATTTATTTTACGTAGTAAGCTCTTACTATATAAGATTTTACTTTTCAGTTGCTCGATCTTTATGTAACTGCTCCTTTCGTAGAAAAGCCGCAACCGTCACCGCACTGTCCCCGCATGCACGGCTACTTCGCCCATGAGGATCCGAGAAACTGTAACACCTTCTACTACTGTGTGGAGGGCAAGTTCAACATGATTACCTGTCCGGATGGCCTGGTCTTCTCCGAGAAGACCGGCATCTGCAACTGGCCGGATGAGGCGCAGAAGAAGGGCTGCGGTTCCCGCGAGCTCTTCAACTTCACCTGCCCGAAGGTCGACGACTCCGTGGCCGCGACGCATCCGCGTTATCCCGACACCGAGGACTGCCAGTACTTTTACGTGTGCGTCAACGGTGAGGTACCGAGGCGAAGCGGATGCAAGCTCGGCCAGGCGTTCGACGAGCGCACCGGAAAGTGCGACTGGGCCAGAAAAATACCCGAATGGTACGAATTATATATGGCGAAACCTGTTTTTCTCACGAGGCAGCATGGAAACAAATGATTCTACGTACCGATGACGTGTGATTTTGAAAATACGAAACCGGCTAAAATCCGGTGCAAACTTTTCGAGACACAAACATTTTCCTCTTTTTTATTTAAAAATAATGCAGATTTTTTTGCTCTACCTAGTTCTTTACAAGTAATAACGAGTTGACAAAATTGATATAAGTAACGAGAAATATGTGCGAACTTCAAGCGAAAAAATTAAATCATAATTAATTCCCAACATTGAAGAATTTGCAAATCTAACATATTAAAAAAGATAAAAAGTTTAGATTTATAATTAAAATTACGATGTATACACGAAGTGTGTACAATCAAAGCCAGAAGTTTCTTAAAAGAGAAGAAAATGTATTTCTAGAGCTACGTCCCTTACGTCCATCGAAAGATTAAAGTTAAACACAGTTCACGCTGCTTCCTCCTCTCATTTCTTATTCAACACATGTCTGGAGCAAGTAACTTAATTACAGCAAAGACTGGTACAAGGATCAGCTGACCGACGAACAATTGGACGCCTTGGAGAATCCGCCGCCCAAACCTAAGCCTACCGGTGGACCAAGCAGAAGAAAAGGCAGCAGACCGGCCGTATAGGCTCAGGACTTTAGATTAAGCGTGTAGGTTTTTATAAGTCTTTACTTTTAAACTGCTCTATTGTATAATAAACTTATCTTTATTACAAACACACGTGCCTTTCAAAATGTATTGCGTCGTAAATCCTGTCTTCGAGATAATTTGCTTTGACAGATAAATTGTGAATTTGACTTTAAACAGTTTAGAAAAAAAGCTACTAATTCCAGGGAAAAATTATTTAATTTCTAACAACGATACTGACACCTTCGGCGTTTTTATTTAAACAACAATGACTTTAGTTTCTCGCAAAATTGGCGAGATTTCCATAAGATCGGAACTCTTCCGAAATAAATTCAGATCGCGTCTTAAATTTACGTGAGCGGTGAAAGTTTGATATCGAGCGACATTCCTCGCATTTCATGCATGGAGAACATTCCCGAAATCCAGCTCTAACGTAATGCTTTCGTAAGCCTGAGAATCGTGGGACGAAGATCATTTTACGTAAGCCAAAGAGAGGGAGCATTGTTAGAACATCAGTATCGAGCAGAACTGCACAGATGAGACGGCGAAAATGTCTATGAATCGTAATATTAAGTATAACAAACAACAAATATATAATGTAATCAAACATATATGTATGTATATAAAATAACAAAACGTAATAAAACATATTCAATTAATTAATAAATTGAAGTTTGTAATTTATTTCTGATAAATAAAAATGTATGACTACATGTGCTTCAATGGTTGAATTGATAAAAATGCTCGCGTCACGAATTGAAGAAAAGTCCAGGTTCGAGCTCTGGCTGAAGCGTTAGTTTTCAATGAATACTTTGCAGTCATTTAAAAGATGCCTAATAACAGAATTGTTAAACTGATCAGCGATCCAATTATGTGGATTTATTATTCCAACGAGATTTATGTGTATAATTTACACAGAAAAAAATTAATATATTATTAGACCATAAAGATCGACCGCATTTCTCTATTTACTTGTAATAAAATTTGTTTGCTTGACCGGCAAAGGTGATTAGAATAAAACTAACTTAAGGTCAATAAACTACGTATTGAATATTACAATTCTCACTTTCCCGCGGAAAAAGCATCGGAAGACGAAGCGAGAGTGAGAGCGAAACGGGAAAAGCATCGTTGTGCATGACGAAGAAAAACAATTGCAATTGACTCAACATTGGCTGCAATGAAGCGTCGTGTTATGGCGATGTATATTCCATCTATAAAGATCGTGGCATATTATCTGAATGATTAAAGTAAGCACATATGTCATACTTCTAATTGATATGATCAGATCGGTAAGAAGTGCATTACTTTTTAAAGTAGTTTCAATTTTATTATTCAATTTTAAGGTAATGAGCAACGGTAAAAGATTACAACACATTTAGACAAGCAATTCATTAAATTCATATGTTTCTGATGTTTTCTATAATCTTGTTTACTTCATATTTTGCAATAGAGTTTTAAAAATATTTTAAGTTGTGCAAAAGACTAGCGTATAAAATTCTGTTTTCCATTAAAACAAGTAATACACAAGAATCAGGACGCAGTATATATTTCAATATTATTTCACGACCTCATACTTTTCAATCTATTTTCAGATCATTCCCCGTGAGACAGAAAAAATATTGACGTTTCCATCAATTATCTATTAAATAAATTTTTTAATCTAAAATTTCACGTGTTTTAGTTTAATAGTTGACGATATAGAGAATTGTGTCTCAGATTTATTTTAATATTTTACAGAATTTACAGAGTAGGCGAATATAACGAACACTAACATTGTCACAGAAATCAGTTTTTCAGAACAATCGAAGCGAGAGCGAAGGTGAATGTTAAACGACAGTTAAGAGAAGAAAGCCTCGCGAAAAAGTTGTCGTTTCCTGGCAGTCAGTGATGCGTAATTTGCTATCCGTCGTTTGAAATCATTCGCTTAGAAATGCGGGCAAACGATTCTCCACGACATTGACGCTTTCTTAGATTTTTACAACATTCATCCTCTTCATCTTGAGCTCTTGATTTGTCCAACTTTCGAATATTTATTACAATATTATATTTAAAGAAATGCAAATTTCTCTTTTTCCTATTACTTTTCTCTTTTTATATATCATATATTATTTTTATCGCGTGTTCTTTATCTTAATTATGTAATTAATAATTTTGAAATTCACTTCTCACGTGATTCTATTTGCTCAATTATATCAATTGTTATCAGAGAGCAGTGAATTTTATCCTGCCTATCCGTCTTGAAAAAATTAACGAGATCTTCTCAGACGGGAAAGAAGCGGTATAATTAAAATATTGACGAAATTTCCTGGCATTTGCACATAATTGTCGTCGCGAGGCAGCGCGATTGCGATTTGCATCGTTCTCATCAAAGAAAAACAGGACGAAGGACGTCGGAGTGAGAGCGCCGAGAGGAGAGAGGAGAGTAAAAGTCTCCTCTCTTTCTTTAGCTCTCTTTCTCTTTCCTTCTCCTGTCTCCTCAATCTTCATTCTCGGCGAGTGTCCATCGATGAAAAGTGACGGCGAAAGTGGGATTTGCGTGTGGCGATATAGTGGGGGTCCGCGGGGTATACCCGGCCGGCAAGTGGCCGAAGAGTCGCAGTTTCGCGAGGGCGACCTCGGGCCAGTTCAAAGAGGGATCAAAAAATTAAATAGCCTAACTTTAGCTCCCGTCCGTTTCAGTGAACCCAAGTGCGATCTAGGATCATCCCGCGGCTATCCGGCCAAAGAAGGCACAAGCAAACGGAAGAATGTTCACGGCCGGGATCGTCACGCTGCTAGGCGCAATCGCGCTGACACGTGAGTATTGCTCGTGATTTGTCAAAGGGGACGTTCCAGAGTATCGCCGAAAGTAGTAGTGGTTCTCGCATTGTTAAAAATCCTTGAGAACGCGCTCTTGCAATGTCAAAATTAATTACTGTCATTCTTGAAAAATTAATTATCAGACGTCGATGATGTCGACATATAATGTGATCTGCTTTAACTAAATTTATGCACCCTCAGAAAGGATTTCTGTTACCGAGAGAAAAAATATTCTCGACGCATTTATGTTTCTCACAACCTCATTTAGTGTAAAACTAAGACAATATCAAAGTAAAATCAATAATTCTTATTCTCCTCTACCGAATTAAAAAAGATTGACTTACTATATTGGGACAAGAGTAACTTATATAAATGTAAGTTTATGTATTCTATTTTATGACACATTCAAGTGTAATAGCATCCGGAAATTTTTTTATTGATAATTTTGTGAAAAAATATATTGAATACTTCGTATGGTTGCGTGCTCCGATCTCTAAATTAACCTTCGAATAAGTTTCTCTCTTATTGTTCCATGACATATTTATTTTGCAAATGCACACACGGGTCTTCTTTATTATTAAAATTGATCTTGTTAATTAAAGGTAAAAAAATTAAGAATATTTCAGTTAACGTTGTAAGACAAACATGTGCAAACATTGCAAAATTAGCATTGATTTTTCTTCGAATACTGTTTTCAGTGATACTTCACTGATTGGTTTTTAGAGAGTATGCTACAATATCTGTACGTTTCTGTATAACTTTATAATTTTTACAGCAGTCGTACGAAACTTTATTGCAGAATGATTTCATGTTGGAAATCTTAATAAACTGTTTATCACTGGTTGTCGGCAATAAAATTGTGAGATTGTTACTGAAACATTAGCTAATGCTGGATAATCATAAATTGCTTGATATCAGAATTATTTATCGACCAAGAGAATTGCAACGAGGGTGAAGGAGGAAAGTGCGAAAGAGAGTAGCTCTCGGGCTCGGTCCGTTAGAATTAGCGCGGAGACAGTGCGAGAGCGAACTTTCTAAATCGTAAATGTCAGTTTTCTCGTTCGGCGAGTTGCATAAGTACGGTCGGCGCGCGGCCAGGACGAAATTACGTAAGAAGCGACGAAATAATGCCGATCCGAGAATTCGACGGCAGGTCGAGCGGGTTCGACCACCTCCGTCTACCGGAAGCGCCAGGTCGATTTCCGCCTGCGGTAAGACCGCGTTGGTATTATCCTCGGCAACATTTCAGACGCCGCGTTCAATTGCCCGAACAAGGACGGCCAATACGAGGACAGCAGGCAATGCGACAAGTATTACGAATGCAACGACGGCGCGGCCGCGGAGAAGCTGTGCCCGGACGGTCTCGTGTTCGATCCCTTGAATCGCAAGGTCAACAAGTGCGACCACGTCTTCAACGTCGACTGCGGCGACCGTCTGGAATTACGTAAGACGATAAAACACCAGCGGCATTTCGCGAGGAAATATTGTAAAAAATAAACGCGTCCGTTCCTGGCGTCAAGTTTCGCCATTTCTAATTTAACAATTTTCTCTCGCACAATATCTCTCTAATAACATTAGCTGCGTTGGCGATCACAGATGAAATTTAAAGTTCCACCACGTGCTGGCACAAATTATATTATACTTTTCTAAATTTACACGATTAGACGTACAAAAATCAGATATTTTCATCCACATATTTGTATCTGTGGAAATGTAAAGCCACGTTTTATATATTTTACACAACTTACATATATTTTAAGTACTGAATGTAGTTAATGATGCCGTTTGATCGATCGTCCTCGTCGATAGAACCTCCACAGCCGACGAAGAAGTGTCCGAGACGAAACGGCTTCTTCGCGCATCCTGATCCGACAGTGTGCAATGTCTTTTACAACTGCATCGACGGAGAGGCGATCGAAATCACCTGCACCACCGGACTGCATTTCGACGAATACAGCGGCACTTGCGTGTGGCCGGATAGCGCGGGTCGCGAGGTGAGAAAGCTTAGGAAAGGATTTCTCTGTTTTGTTCGTCGATTGCGACGCGCGCGGTTAGCAACGAAGTTATTTCACGCCGAACAAATTCTCAGTGCGAAGTCTCTTTACACTTTTGCACCGCGCGCGAATACGTAACGAATTTCACGGCCTAATTCCGGAGTCGCCTGGACGGAGGAGTTTAGAGGAATCTCGAATTCGGAATTGTAACAAAAGTTAAAATTTCCCAGAATATTTAAATCTTTAATTGAGAGAAAGTACGCGCTTCTAATACACCCTATAACGCGTGTACTTTCTCCCAATTACAATTACAGATTCTCAGGTGGGTCTGAAATATTTCCTTGCAATTAACGGGAGTTTAACGATGCAATTCTGTTGGAATTTGAACGTAGGAGGCCTTAGCGGACATAATTCATGAGACACGGGCAGTGAAATCCTACTCTTCAGTGGACGATGTTACAATACGCGGTTCTTCGATCAAATTCTAACAGCGTGCTTTATTAAGTAAACTTCTTCTTGTAAAACTACGTTAAAACACGATTGGAGAAAAACATTACAAGTGTAAACAATGGGAATAAAGAATTAGACGTTCCCGTCTACTTTTCTATTACCATTTTTCACAACTTTTGACTTCTAACTTTACTAGACGCTAAAAGAATTAGAAATCAAAAGCTGTAAGAAATGGGAATAGAAAATTAGACGGGACAGTCTACTTTTTAATCCCCATTTTTACAGCTTTTGATCTCTAATTCTTTTAGCATCTAGTAACATTAGAAGTCAAAGGTTGTAAAAAATGGGAATAAAAAATTAGATGCTCCTATCTAATTTTATATTCCCATTTTCTACAACCTTTGTCTTCTAACTTTACTAGACGCTGAAAGAATTAAAAATCAAAAGTTGTAAAAAATGAGAATACAGAATTAGACGCTCCTGTCTAATTCT